GAAATCTGGTTTTACAGAGGGGAGAAACGCAAAAATAAAGAATCTGGGGAGCATTGGCTGGTTTTAATTACAACACTTTAAGCTTTTGCCGGCACTAAGCAGCTGCAAGTGGCCGGAAAAATCTTTCTGAGCCCCAGCCCTCAAAAGAAAAACTCGCTTCCCCCAGAAAGAAAAACAGGTAAAATAAGAAAAAGTATTTACATTTATTATTAATGTACTTGTGCTCTAGCTAAGAAACAGCAGCAGACACAGGGAAATTGCGTTGTCAGCAGCAGCTTCAAGATATACGGCTGTGCAAGGAATTTTCCTTGTTTTGTGTTATGAATCCTTAATGTCTGACTCCATACCCCAAAGTATAAGCAAAAAGCCCCCCCAACGAAAAAAAAAATTCAATGAACAAATCCGAAATGCTTTAAGCTGTAATCTGTGGTTCAAAATGGTAATATAATAGGGTTGACGGTGTCAGTTTCTCAGAGATAATTGATGGCACAAATTATGGGTTTAAAAGCTACCATCATGTTATTATCAATATGAAAGCTTTGAGTAATCTTATCTTATTTAATTAAAATGTAAAGCCTAATCCATTTCTATAAGAAAACGTTTTCCTTACATGGTTTCCCCATTAGCCTAACAAATGTAAGCCCCCCTACAAATTCTCCAGGGACATAATCCTCCGCCTGTAGTTTCCATTTTTATTATACGATATTTTCAGACTGAACATGCGCCTTATGCTTCCTGCTCCCCGATGTGCTTGAAAAAATTACAACCATTTAAAGTTTGTTGGAAAATAAAATAAAAAGGTGCAGACTGAAGGGCCTTTCGATGTTTGCTTTTGAATTTCGGTGTTTTTGTCTGTGGGGGATGCATAAAATATGCGTCAGATAGACGTACTTGGCTCATGTTAAATGTATGCAGCATATATTTATGCGCTACTTGTTTTCTTTTTAATTTATTTAGCCATAAGAGGCCAAAAGAAAGTCAAAAATTAGGCAGTGGGGTCGACAAACAATAAAAGGCGAGGCGTGAAAATGCCGCAGGCGAAAGTATTTAACACCAACTACAAAAGCACGCACGTCTTGCCGTCGCAGTCAAAAACAAATGGGCAGCGGCGCAAGCAGCAGCCAGGATAATTGCCCCAATGGACGTGGCAATTACCGGGCCGTAAGACACAGGGATACGGTAACGAAAGGACTTTGGACTATAGACTATGGACAATGGCGCGCAAGTTATGCAGCACAAATTGCAAACATTTCGGCGGCAGTGGGATATTGGTGGTGGGTCGTAAAGTGGCATTGACAACGGATCAATGTGGCGGGGGATTTTCCAACTTACCTTCCACCCAGCCCCAGAATTCAATCAACTTCCCCGTTCATTTGTAGCCCAATTAATTTCGGCAATCTAACCAGTAAAAGCCATCAAGCTAAACAAGTGAATCCGGATTGGCAAGCCCTAGATGCTGGCACTGAGAAAAAACTATTTGAGTTCTTACATAAAACTATCTTAAGACTGTTTAATTTCTTATATATCAACTGACATTTGTGATATGTTTTAAATTCAATTTTATGGCTTAAATTTCACTTTATTTATTGTATATTATATTTATTCGGATTTTGTCATCAACTTTTTTACTTTTCCTGCAGCAATTCTCTCAATTATTAAATTAAAAAAAAATTTGCTATACAAATATATTGAGATGATAACATCCTTTTGATGAATAACTAAAATGTACAAAAACAAGGTTTATTAGTTCTTTACCATGCACTTTCTTTCGCTTTTAAGTGAATAAAATTTATTTAGCAATTAATATATCAGGGTAATTTTTTTTCAAAAACATTAATAAATTTGTTTCAGTGCCTCGAGGCCGCTCGCCGTGGCTTCCATTTCAAATGCAACTTGCCAGAGTGCAACATTTCATTTTGGCTTGCAAAACGCTCGAGAATTGACTCAACAAAAACCTCGACAAGCTATAAAAATGGCAAAAACAGAGACGAACCGAATCTAAACAAACCATACTACAAACAAAAAAGCATAAAACTGTTGCGAGAATGCTTCTTTTGGCGACTGTGTTTCGTTTCGGGCCAAACAAAAACTTTGACAAGGCACAAAGACCAGGCTGGAAAAAATGGCAGGACTAAAACAAATATTCAGCAGGAGGCAAACTTTATTTCGGTTTCAATTTGCGATAAAAACAGCGACAACAGTCGCCAGGGCAGCGGCAAATGAAATTTAACAACTCGCCGAGGAGCAAACTCGAATCGCAATTGGCAAATGGGTAATGGGAAATGGGAGATGGAGAGTGCAATGAGAAGGGGAATTGGGGGTTGAGAAGAATAAGGCAGGACATTGGGGGCGACTTGGCACAAAAGACGGGCGATGCATTTCCCCCGCTGCATTTGCTGTCGCTGCTTGTTTTTGAACATTCATAATAAATTTTGCGCTGCGAACCTTCTTCGACAGCAAAAACAAAAGGACCTGCATATATATCGTTTTTTTGCTCCTGTTTCTTCTTTTTCTGCCGCCTCCAACCGGTTGAAATGTAACGGATGTTAGAGTTGCGCACTGAAAATTATATATAAACAGGATATGACAGGCAGGAAGCCGTTGTCCCTCAGTTGCCCGCCACGCCCCCAAGCGCCCACAACTACTACGATGGAAACACCGCCCGAAGTCGAAGTGCATTGCTAAGCATTTTCCTTAGTCGTTTTTTTTTGTTTTGCCTTCCATTTGCCCCCTTTCAGCTGCTTGAATTTTAATGCCAAATGGCATTCCGGATTGAGCCAGGTCCTGGTCTCGGACCATAGAAATATCAGACCAGCTTTGGATATGCCGCTGGCCAGGACTAAACGGCTATCAGGGGAAACAAGTTGAGACGCAAGTGACAAGAGTAGCAGGAATACGGCAATACTGAAAAGGATATTGTCTCCGGAGGCATTTTTTTTATATTTTATGCGGTACGTATATATTTCTGTTAAATGTGTCATATATATTTAAATAGTTGATGAGCTAGCTTTTTGAAGAGAATTAAATATAAAAAATTTTAGCATCGTTTTCTAATTAGTTTCAAATGGTTGCCTATCTTTAATTAAATACGAGAATCCTATTTAACAAAACATTCAAATTAAATAGAATTTTCTAATTGTTAATAACAACGTTTTAATTGGTAAACATTTTCAACAAGAAAGTATACTAAAGATTAAGTGCAGATAACAAAGTGAAATAAAGCTCATAATCTTATCTAAATTACGCTGGTGAAATAAAATAACAGACTACATCCAGAGTGTTCCAAGGAAATATCTTTTTCAATGGCTACCTTTTTCTCATATAATCGCACTCTACTGCATTTTAAGTGGATGAACAGGAAAACAGCTTTTCTACGAGATAGTAAAACCAAAGTGTAGGTACGATAAAGTACGAGCACTACTCCTTCGCAATATATTTTATGCAAGTATAAACACAAGTGCAGAGCTCTCATAAATCACGCATACGCACTGTGGCACTCTGCCTGCCACAAGAGGAAAAACTATAAATAAACGAGAACGAGACGATAGTATAAACCACAAAGGAGTGCATAGGTCTTGCTTATAAACTTAACCGAAAGAAGTAGAACCTCAATTAGTCATTTATGAAAGAGGCATTGTTCCCTGATAAACTTGAAAGTGGAAAATCACAACATCAAGAGTTGAATGTTTTGGTTTCGTGGGATAAGAATGAGTTCTTTTCCCTCCTCTTCATATTGAACAACTTTATCCAATTTCTCGTTTTGCGCTGAGACCAGCACATCGCGCATAAGCACGTACAAATCGCATTTCTTAGGCTCCATCCTGCCGCTTTTCTGCTTCCTGCTTATCCTTTTTTATTTGCCCCTGCATGTGGGCCAAGCTTTGGTTGTTTAGCTGTCAGATTTACTTGTCTCACTGGGTCGTCGTCTGAATATCCTTGGTGCCTGCGATGTGAATGTGTGTTTATGTGTTTGTGTGTATGTGTGCTATAAATCGACAGCTAAATCTGCAAAAACATTGATAAGACAAGCGACATGCCAATGCGGCCAAAGGCATTTGCCAACGCCTTCCCTCTGGTTTAACCCAAAATACCGAAACGAACCGAAAATGTTTAGCCAACTTGCTGCGAAATTGCTTTTCGATTTATTTTCTATACGTACATATGCATGTTTGCCTATATACAACACATGCATGTCTGACAAATTGGGAGAGAGGTAAGGCATTGTGACAAATTAGTCTGTGGGCATTTGTTGCTGCTTGCTGCGCTGGCACAAATTATGAGATTCTTATCGCCATCTCTACGATTGAGTAATAACCCGAGTGAGATCCACAATGTGGGATGCAGATGGCTACCCAATTTGTGTTTGCCCCATTTTGGCCTGGGAACTGGGCCAATTTCGTATGGATTTGCTTGTTTGTGAGAATTTATAGAAACTTAAATTGCGAAAAATATTTGGCAAATTCTGCTTGCAATATTTTTGGACAAATTTCAATTAAGTGAAAGTAAATGAAAATATATATCAAAATGTTTCAATATTGATGCACATCAAGGGCTTTGTTTGGCAAGAGAAGTTTAAAGAACTTACAAAATTTGTTATCCGATTAATTTTTGTAAATTGATTTCGATTTTTCTCACTTTGATAATCCAATTTATTTTTAATAATAGTTTGTATCTACCAATTTTTATTTGTATATATAATTTTTTTATACACTGTGGTTTGTAAAAGGTTTTTTCAGAAAGAATTTAAATTTTTTAGTCAAAGCCGTATTTCTTGTTTCAATCGTACAATGTTTTGAATTTTACAAATACATATTGTTGGAGACATGAGACATAAATTTTATCTAAATTAACGCACTTTTGAATTGTTTGTTTTATTTTTTAAATTCATTTTTTTAAAAACATTTTGCATTAAACTCAGCTAGATATGTAGATTGATACTTGGCAAACCGAATGTTATTCCCAATGTTTTGAAAATCACAAACATTTGAATCTGCACTCACCTAATGTCTTGGTCCACTGGGCAGTGGGTCGCCAGTCGGGATAGTGTTTTGGGAAGAGCTCGCGGGTCCAGTAGGTGTGGAGGACGACCTTGTAGACGGCCAGCCGGTCCAGGGTGCAGCCCGTCTGGGGGGCGGGCTGGGTGGCAGGGGGCGTGTTTAGCGAGGCGGTTGGATCGGCATTCAAATTCGTATTGGGATTGGAATTGGGTCTGGGATCATCGGTGAAGTAGTAATTACGATTCAGATTCGAATTGGAATTCAGAATGCCATTCTGGTCTTCGAACTTGACGTTCTCCCCCTGCTGATTCTCCACACTATAGGCGTATATCGATGGGTTGGAGATGAAGGAGGCGCCATAGGCACCAACGGCATCCGCTTTCGGGGAAATAAAGCCGAGGCCCAAAAGGATAAACAGCAGCCAGTGGGCCAGAAAGTCTGTTTTCGGTGTCGCTCCCATTTCGTCAAATGTTGCGTGCTAATTCGCTCGCCCTTTCTCGCTCTATCCTTCGCCGGTGCGGAGCTATTTTTGTTTTGATATAATTTATATTTCTCGCTTTTCTTTTCTTTTCGTTTCCTTTTTTTTTTGTTGTTGGCCGCTTACACTTCACATTTGCCTTCGGGCCGTTGCTTAAAAATAAATGCACACACACTCGCGGCACTCACATATTTATTTTTGGTTTCTTTAACTTTGTACGCTCTGTGCGTTTTCTTCACTTTTTGGACTTTTGGCGCGCAGCAAGCTCAACAAATTCGATATGGGAGCGGAAAAGTGAGGAAAACAGTGGAGGTTCTGTGCCCAGATGTTAGACAACCGCCCGCGCTGAGAGTTCGTCGCGGACTGAGCAAATGTTGCGGCAGGCAATGAAAACACCAGCCACGGAGAGCGCAAAACGGGGAGACCCTACAGTGGGAGAGAGCGGCGAAGCGGGAGAAAATTAACCATCCTTTTGACAGAGAGCAGGAGAGATAAAGAGAGAGAGAGAGTGCCATGTTGGGGAAATTACTGTCCAACTGTTGTTTTGGCCAGAGCAAAAAGAAAGGAACAGCCTGTTGAGCTTGTTGTTAACTGTTGTTTTCCAGGGAACTTTTTTCATTGTTTGCTAGTAGGTTCATGTTAATCCTGCTGTTAACTTTTATAGTTAATGGTTAAGTTTTACTGTTAAGTAAGCTTCTTAGAAATTGCTATAATAATAAGTATTAGAATTTCGAAAATTACATTTATATTTTGTAACAAGTGGAATGCTATGTTATGAATCAATGGAAATGTCTTGATACCAATTTATGTTAATATGAGTAGTTTTTAGTTGATCCAAGCCTTGAAAGTTAAAGCAATTTTCCATTATTTCTTTACTATTTTACTCTGATCGTTTAAAAATATTTAAATATTGAGTGGTAAGATAGATTAATACAATGTAATTATAATTAATAAAATTGGGTTTACTTAAGCAAAGTAATGAAATTTATTATTAGTTTTCGACTGCTTATAACCCTTGATGGGTACAAAATTATAAGCAAATCTCTACAATCCCATTGAAGAACTGGAATTTGGCTCACGCAAAATACTTGACATTTCCGCAGACGAACGTTAGTTGAACTTCCATTGTTGGCTTAACCCCCAACTGCGATTAACCCCCTGTGATTACCGTGGCTTGTGTGCTGATGTTTCGCTCCACTCCGTTGTTGTTGATGATTGCCACAGGCTTAGTCGCATTTATTGCACATTTCCTTTCTGCCATTTCTGAATGTCAGTGTTAATGAGGCGGGCTTATGTGTGTGTCGACTATTCACGTACATATCTATCTCAATCGACGACTATTAACGAGAGTGTGTGTGGCACATTACTATGTATTGTGCTCGAACAATGAGAACAATTTCCGATTAAAACCAATTGAAGCTCTTTAATTGCTACAATTCAATTAAACAACACGCTAATGGCTTCAGAACGGCAACAACTATCGATTCCCTGAGTGGGGTTGGTCAGCGGACAGCGGTCTATCATTCTTTCAGAACTTCACTTGAACCCACTCCCGGTAATTGCCATTGACATGTGCCCCTCCCCCGGTCGCCAATTACTCCCCCGATGCCATCGTCCATCCCGAGAAATACGAGTCTTCAGGTGGGAGCATCCCGAAAGTTGGACACACACAATTATGTTGCACTTAAATGAGTTGTACGTGTCCTGACCGACTGCCCGTATCCTGTGTCCTTTATAGATCGTGTCCTGCGATACGCTCAAGTACTTCCCTACACTTAAAAAAGAAAAACTGTATAATATACAGAACTACTTCCTACGATTTTCTAGCTAAGATCTTGGGAAGCATTTGTATTCCTTGTGAATATTTATATTTAACTTTTAGTTATTGATATTTAAAAATATGAAATACATTTACATTTATAAAAAGATATGAACTTCTGTCTAAATTTTAAAAAAAATTTATTTGTATATATTTGAGTGCTCTTTCAGTCTTACATTCATAGGTAAATGCTGTTCAAGTTATTTTTCCAGGTGTATGTAAATTGTGCGTGCGTGAAATTTATTGCAGTTAATAATAATTGTCCATTCTACTTGAACGACGACCGCAACGATAATGTGTTTCCCCACCCACTTTGCCGTGACTCTAACCGCCTGTGGTCAATTATAAGCGGACAGTCCGCCATTTGTCTTAGACGTGGTCAATGCCAGGTTGTCGTTGTCTAGCTGCCCTTTGGGGCTTTTTATGGGGCTTTAAACGCTGGGCCATTAGTTAAGTGCGTCATACACAAATATATATACAGGCCCTAACGGAAATTATTCAAATGAGGTGCTAATGTCCATTTTGGGTAATGTTTATTAACCAAAGGAAGACAGTTACAATTTTCATTTTTGATTTCACTTAATTGATAGGGATTTGAAAAAATTGTGTCTTAAAATCGGTGCTTCAGTAGCTAGAAACTGAAAAGGTTAACATTCAAAAACATTTTATTTGACTTAGCTAACAATCTATTTTAGTTCATAAGCTGTGTCGAAAAAATATTCAAATAGCTACAATATTTTCTAAGACCTAAATATCATTAGAAACAATTTAAGTATGCAGGATTACAAAAGTATTTATGTATTGATCAACAAATCAATTTTTTAAGTTTTTTAAATGAGCACTTTATGATAAAAATTAAAAATTTATATTATGATCGTGCTCTGCAAGCTTATCAAATAAAATAATGAGCGATTTTCAGTAAAGTCGGTTTTGAATGCTGTTGTTGAAAAACAATGGGAAATTTTCTCATATTTTGCTCTGCACAGCGCATGAACTTTCTCTCGCTCCAGTTTTCCGTTTTCTCCGACTTTTCCCCGCATTCTAGTTTCGCTCTCATTTCCTCCCACCTGAACAGACAAGACATTTGTGTTTGATTGTCGGCAAAATACGGATATAATCCATTCAGCCAAAGTAAAATTTCAAATACATGAACCAGAGGAGACAGTGGAAAAAGTGGTGGACAGATTGGGGAGAAAATGCAGACACTGGCCCCAAAAATGTTTAGGGTTCGCCTCATGTGCCAGCAATCGGCAAAAATTTCTAATAAAGTTGGCATTTGCCAAACAGACACGCAGACGTGCAGACAAACAGGATCCGTATACCCTATGGAACACACTTTCCCGAATATTTGCCCAGCTTAACCTGTTCGTTGTTGCTTTTATTGAAAAGCGAACACAAAGCAACCAAAATGCCACCCAGCGACTGTTGATGCAACTGCCATACGTCGGATGCATTTCCTCCTGGAAATTCGTGGCTGCTTTGATGGCATATTTGCATAAAAACTATGCATGCGTTTGCCACCCAGCATCTACATATATATATCTTCTGATTTTTTACCCATTTTTTGCTATAAATAAATCCACTGAAAGTAAACAACGAAGGGTGCATGGAAGGGGGCATAGAATGTGATCAAAAAGTCAAAATACTTGAAATGTCTCATTGTCACTCAAATCACAATGAGCAACGCATTTGCATGTTGCATGTTGCTGTTGTGTTTACCTCACAATGCATATGCAGTTTGTGACATTTGATGTTTGGACCCATTTTGCAATTTTAACTCAGTTCCTGCTTGGCATTTCGAATAGAAAGGATCACACAAAATCACTAACAAAGCAGTCATGGGGGGGAATTCCTAATTGCAAACTACTTTGGTTTCTCTGGGTAAATGTTAGTCCCAACCGAAATTATATTACCTTATCAAGGAATTTAAAACCTGCATAATTTAAAAATAAATCTATTTTATCTATTTATATATGTATCCAATACAATAAATTATAGCTGTCATGTAGATAATTTATCTAAAATAATGTTGTAAAAGGGGAGGTACAGAATTTTAAAAAGGAAGTGCCCGACCGAGTTCATTAAAAATGGTTTGGCACCCGTTCTAATTCCACAAATCATTCTCCCTTAAGTCGACCTAATCCAGTGCAACGCCAAAAATTTGTCAGTTTCCAAAGGCTTAGCGCATAATTTATGTTCCTCAGCGTCGGTCAACCATAAGCAAATAGAGATGTGATATAAATAAATAAAATTTACACATTTGTTTGTTTTGCTTTGCTGGCCAAATATATCCGCTCATATTTTTATGATGTTAGTACATTTTATTTGATTTTTGTGTGCTGATGACGTAATACTTACTTCCAGCAAACTGAAGCCCATTGAAATATAATAGTTTAATGCAAATTAAATGGAATAACATTTATTTTCGGTCAGTCTGTCTGTGGCTAGATTTTATTAGCTGCATGTGCAAAAATGCATTCAAAAGCAATTAAAAATACATATTTGTGTAAAAGAGCAGCGAGCTGCTCGCTGGTTTTTGTTTTTCCTCCCTGCACAATAGTCTGACCACGAATTATATAATTTCAATTAGGTTTTTGGGCTCCCACCAACCTTGCAGTTTTGACACTGAAAACGCATTTTATATTTGGCGGTAATTATGCGGCGATTGCAATTGGGGCGATTTAAAAGACCAGTTGGCTTTTGTCATCGCTTTGATTCAATTAATTTTGCACGCGGTATAATGAGGCGAACAAAGGGAACTAAAAATCCCCTCCGGCTTTTGATTGTATCTCTGGGTTCCCTATAATTGATTCTAAATGAAGTGGAAATTGGTTTGATGCATAGCAAAAGCTATGTTTATGTGGTTATCTGTGGGTGGGGTGGTCACGATTCTCTTCTAATTACATCCTGGGATCATAACTTATTGAAAACGTATTTGATGTAAATCAGGCCTTAAAAGTATACAAGTATGAATGCACTTTGAATTATGATTGACAGGAACAGAATTGAGTGTAGATAATTACTTGATTATAAAATATATTAGATATATACCTGAAATTGTTTATATTGATTTATTTGGAGATCTTAAGTAACAGACTATATTGTCAATGTCATTTTCTAAGCTACATTGCAGCACACATCATTACTTGCCTTCCTATTTAAAAATACATTCAATGATAGTATTTAATAAGATATTGTTGGCTTTATGAAAGTTTTAAAAATTAACATCTTAGTAATAACAGATATAGCCAAACTGACTGACCTAATAGGAGCAAATTATTTAAATTTTCAGACTTTTTTGCGAGATTGATAAAAGCTGCAATATAAGTGCACGATCCCCAGAACGAAAGCCTTTTTTTCTTGACCGTTTCGTTGACAAAGCCTACAGTTTCTGTTTTACCATTGTTGAACTTTTTATGGCCTGAGCCACCCACTTAGCCAGCCAGCACTTGAGGCGACTTTCCGGCTGCGCTTAATTAAAACGCAGGGTCACGTAGCGACTGTCTAATCCAATCCGGGCCCGAACTCCTGGCCCTG